ATTCATGCTAGAATGGGCCTTCCTTCCCCTGGCTGTGGGCACCACCTTTCCACTCCGGCCCAGTCCTGCAGCTGCCTCTTTCCACTCCAGCCCCACCTTCCCACGCTGCCCAGGGTCCCTGAGAAACCAGGGATGGGGCAGAACGCCTGCCCCTGGTCACTGGCACCTGTGTATGAAAATTAATCGCCATCTTTGTTGGGTTAATTTGCATATCACTCCTGATTGACTGGTGGGTGTAGCAGAGGTATGGTCAATTTTTATGTTTGTCTATTATTAGGTAAGATATTCAGATGAAATGTCCAGAATAAGCAAATATAGTGGGACAGAAAAGATTACTGTATGCTTAAGGTTTGGTGGGATCTAGAGGTAGAGGGTACAGTTTTCTTTCTGAGATGATGAAAATAGTCTACAGTTGACCATGATAGTTGCACATATCTAAATATACTAAAAACAACTGAATTATACACTATAATTATACACTGAGTAAATTTCATGGTATGTGAATTACATTTTAATAAAGTTTTGATTTAAAAAAAAACAAAAAAACTAAAGAGCCCTGACCTGTTTGGCTCAGTAGATGGGAGCACTGAGCTGTAGACGAATGGGTCCGGGGTTCAATTCCAATCAAGGGCATGTACCTTGGTTACAGGCTCAATCTCCAGTAGGGGGCGTGCAGGAGGCAGCTGATCAATGTTTCGTATTGATGTTTCTATCTCTCTCCCTTCCTCTCTTAAAAAGTCAATAAAAATATTTAAAAAATAAAAATAAAGAAGAGTTTGAAGATGGGCAATTTGCTGTTTAAGATGACATCAATAGCTAACATTATAATATTACTAGGGGTCCAGTGCATGAATTCGTGCATCGTGAAAGGAACTATGGGCCATGAGGCTGCAGTGGGCACAGTGGCAGGTCTCGGCCCATCCTCCACACCCCAGCCTGGCCCCTTCCACTGAAGCCCCCACTCCTGCCACCGCCGCTCCCATGTGCTGACAGCAGCGGCGCAAACAGCGGCTGCTCCTCCTATCACCCCTAAGGAGCAGGGGGAGGTGGAGAAGCCCTCAGAGGCCATTGGGGCCAGCATCCGCCACTCGCACCCACTGACGGTACCGAGCAATCAGGACCAACACTGGGCAACAGCAGCAGGTGTGAGTGGGGCCAGCACCAAAAGTGGGTGAGAGTGGTGGCTCCAGTGCTGGCAGCGGGTTTGAGCAGCTGCTGCTGGCACTGATCACCACTCAGGAGCAGAAGGTGGAGAAGCCCCGAGGGACCAGCTGCTTCCACTCTGGCACTAGGAGCAAGTACAAGCGGGGCCAGCACCGGCAGCAGGTATAAGTGCTAGGCAGGACCACAGTGCATGGGAACGAGGAATTTTCAGTAACCATCAGAGATTCAACCCAATGACAGCGACCAGTGCCCCGCCTTAGTACGGTGCCCCTGCTCACCTGCTCCACCATCCCACCACAGCCAACTCCCACCATGTTCGCACTCTGACACCTATTGCCTACGCCCACCATGTTCCGCCTGCGCCCCCTAATGATCAGTGCATGTCATAGCAACCAATTGTTCAGTTGTTCCGTTGTTCAGTCTATTTGTATTTGAGCCTTTAATTATATAGGATTTTATATCAAAATTTGTAGTATCCTTGTTCTTACCACTAAAGGCTTTATACCAATCAGATTTTAACTCACAAAGAGACATGTAAATATCTTTGTATTAACTATGAAAGAATGAGAAAGATGGACAGAATTCAGTGGAATCAAGGGAAAAGGAGAAGAGAGTAAAGAGAGAGGGAGGTAGAAGTCAAGGAGGACAGAAGCCTCAGTAAGGAGGGGTGGGCAGCATCGAGGAGGCACATTTCCCAACATTCCCCATCCCAAGGGAAAGGAGTGGCTGTGTGAAGACAGACTGGCCTCAGGTAGAATCAACAGAGCTGTTCACCATTGTTGGGTTTTTTTTTCCACTTAAAGGCACACAAAGAATAATAGAAGAAACATTGTTGAGACAATTCCCTATGATGGCCATCAGAGGATACCATGAGTCCAGGATGGTCTAGTTGCTTTCAAATTCTTCAGAAAATGGCTAAGGCATCTATAATAATAAAAAGGTAATATGCTAATAGACCGGACGTCTTCCAGATGTTATTCTGGATGTCTTTCCTGATGAAACTGGGCTGGAGGGAAGCCAGCCCAGGTCCTGGGTGCATGTGGGCAGCCCGGGGGAAGCTAGCCCAGGTCCCAGGTGCCGGAGGAAGCCAGTGCCAGCAGCTGGGGGAAGGAAGGCCTACTCTTGCATTGGGCCTCTAATCCTATATAATAAAAGGCTAATATGCAAATAGACTGAATGGTAAAATGACTTGTCGCTATGATGCACACTGACCACCAGAGGGAAGACACTCAAAGTAGCTGCCCCCTGTTGGTCAGTGCACTCCCACCAGGCTGGTGAGCATGGCGCCGGTGGTGGGGAGCCTCTCCCACCTCCACAGCAGCGCTAAGCATGCCCACTGCCAGCTTAGGCCTGCTTCTTGCGGGGAGCATCAGACATCCCCTGAGGGCTCCTGGACTGCGAGAGGTTGCAGGCTGGGCTGAAGAAACCCTCCCCTCCAGTGCACAAATTTAGTGCACCAGGCCTCTAGTCGAAAAATAATTTGTAAACAGTCCTTTATAACTCTATATAGACCATTTACAATGTCCTATTTCTAGATTACCTAGAAATTTCCTTTTACCAAAATATAATTTATAAAAGATATTAGGAATTATATTTTACCTATATTTAAAATAAGTTAAAAGGAGGTTCTGTTTTTTTCTAAATTGACTGATAGAGTAAGGTAGTAAGACCATCTTAGATCCATGCAGTAATTCTTTACAAAACCACTAAAATCATGTTTACTGTTATCTACATTTAATATTTATAAACCCAGGACTGTGTTAAATAATATAAAAGATAAAAAGTTGAAACTTAGTCTCTATCTATCCCTTAGAAGCTTAAAACCTTAGTAAAGAGACAAAGGGTACATGAGGTAATTTTCACACCATTCAATGCAATAAGTGACAGGAGTTCAGAAAAAAAAAAAAAAAAAAAAAAAAGATCATTAAAATGCTAAGGTTGTTCTGGCAAAGCCTCCTAAAAAGTCAGCACAGCATTTAACTGTAAAGTTTACTAAGAAAAACCAAGGACATGCCGAAACCGGTTTGGCTCAGTGGTAGAGCATCGGCCTGCAGACTGAAAGGTCCCGGGTTTGATTCCAGTCAAGGGCATGTACATTGGTTGCAGGCACATCCCCGGTAGTGGGTGTGCAAGAGGCAGCTGGTCGATGTTTCTCTCTCATCAATGTTTCTAGCTCTCTCTCTCCCTCCCTTCCTCTCTGTAAAAAATCAATAAAAATATATTTAAAAAAAAAAAAAAAGAAAGAAAGAAAGAAAGAAAGAAAAAGAAACACCAAGGACATTAGCAGCAGGGGAACTATACCTGAGCAATGTCAGATGGGAATGTGTGAAATATGAACCATAAAAGGACTGACTAGGTTAAGGAATGAAAAGTTAGAAAAGTAAAATTTAGCATCTGTGGAAATCCTTTACTCTAACAAATGGGAAACTATCTAATAAATAACAGTCTATCATAGTTTCATAAAATAAGGAATAAAAGTTTATAGTTGTATAGCTTTAAAACTTTTATTTACTCATTCAACAAACATTTACTAAACAGCTACTAACTGGCACTGCAACACGTATTGGAGTGGTTCCATTTCTGCTCTAATGATGCTTTTCTTTGTCTAGTAAGGAAGACAGGCATAAATAGAGGGTTCAAGGTTTCTAGAAGAATGAATTGAAAAATTATTCTATTTCATGTAATCAAATATCATAATCAAATAAATGCTTTATGTATTTCAGAGGAACCTGATCAAATCTAGATTTAAATAAAAATTTCTGAGGAAGCCAATGAACGAACTGAAGTTAGGCAAAGATGTGGGAGAAAAATATTTCAGTTTTCAGAGGAATGACAGTCTGAAAAACAGGCTTCTTTGAGGAATGAGCAGAAGTGTAGTGTAGTTGGAGGAAAATAAGCCTGGAGGAAAGATTAGGATCAAGAGGACCTTATGAGATAAGGCTGGAGAAGCAATCAAGAACCAAAGCATGTACATTCTTGTAGTCTTCATTAAAAACTGCAGTCTTGCCCTGGCCAGTAAGTATGACTCAGTTTGTTGGAGAATTGTCCCCTGCACTTAAGTGTCACAGGTTCGATTACTGATCAGAGCACATACCCAGGTTGCAGGTTTGACCTCCAGTCAGGGTGCATATGAGAGGCAACCAATTGATGTTTCTCTCTTTCTCTCTCTCCCTCCCTAAAATCAATAAAACATATCCTTGGGTGAGGATTCAAAAACAAAAATAAAATGAAAAACAAACCTGCAGTGTTCATTCTAAAAGAGAATCAATCCACTGAAAGAGAAGACAAGACTGGATGGACTTCAGATAACAGAGATCAAGTAAAATTTCATACCACTTAAGACAAGTATCTAGAGAGAAACACCACTTGGAGGTTTTTCAATTTAGGGGAAACTCTCCAATATTCACCTATCATAGAATGGGCAATGTGTTTTACAGCATAGGAAAGCAATGGCATCTATGCTCATTAGAGAGGAAAATGCTTCTTACCTTTGGATTGCTGGCCTGAGGAAAAAAGGTAAAGTATACCTTGATGGCCTTCTCCAGGGATTTTTATATTTACCAATATTTTTTAAAATCAAATAAAATTCATCACTTACAAATGTGTTATATAAATTAATCATGAATATACCATATTTTACACAAAGAGGCTTTTACATTAATAAAATCTGATTTTTAATTTAAACCTATTTTACTTGTGATTATCTTTTTAAAAACCAATGAAATTTAATAAAAGCCCAAGAAGTATTTAAACATTATACTTTGAGAAAATCAATTTATTGAAATTGGTTGAAATAACTGGACTAAATTTTTACTATAAGCTCTTATCATACTAACTGTATCGTGGTGCTTTGGTGAAGAGGGAGAAGATTCATTTTCAGGAAAGCAGGGTTTTGAGGCAGGTGGAGATTCCTATAAGAAATAAGTAATGAAAAATGTTATTCTAGCTTACATAATTTTATGTCTCCTTCTGCTCACAGTATGAGAGCTTACTAGAGGAAACTAGGAAAATTATTGTTTTTCTTTATTGATCTCCAAAAATAATATGGTACTTATTTGAAAAATTACAGATATCATAAAGTTTATGAAATATGGCATATTTATACCATTTAGTTAAATTTAAATACCACATGTAGAATTACTCAAAAGAAATGATGCATGCTGTCATAAATCATGATGTCACATCAACTTGAATAAACCATATGTAAAATAGGTAAAACCTAAATACTTGTGGATAAAAATGTAGTAGTCACCATACTAATTTGCTATTGGTATGATAGATATGAATACCTAAGATTAACCCTAACTGGTTTGGCTCAGTGGATAGAGTGTTGGCCTACAGACTCAAGGGTCCAAGGTTCAATTCCGGTCAAGGGCATGTACCTTGGTTGCGGGCACATACCCAGTAGGAAGTGTGCAGGAGGCAGCTGATCGATGTTTCTCTCTCATCGATGTTTTTAACTCTCTATCCCTCTCCCTTCCTCTCTGTAAGAAAATCAATAAGATATATATATATATTTTAAAATACCTAGGATTAGGCAAGGAATTGTCACAGGAATTACATGACATCGGTGAGAATGAGAACTTTATTTTCTAAGCCTATAAGAATACAATAGGGGCAAACTAAAAATGTGTGTTTCTAAAGCATTTCTGCTTTGTCAATTATTTAAAATGGTATGTGATTTCTACCACAGATGTTTATAAGATTAATGAAGCATAAAACTGAAAAAAATGTTTTTGGTATCAACAGCCAAATTTAAATGGATTTAAATTTTCTCCCTTTCCCTAGAAGCTTTGAATAATTATAGGAAAAGAGAATTTTAAAAATTCACATGCCAACGCCTATTATTAATTTCTTATAAAACCAAATAATAGCCGAAACCGGTTTGGCTCAGTGGACAGAGAGTCGGCCTGCAGACTGGAAGGTCCCGGGTTCGATTCCGGTCAACGGCATATACCTTGGTTGCGGGCACATCCCCAGTGGGGGGAGGGGGGGGTGGTGCAGGAGGCAGCTGATCGATGATTCTCTCTCATCAATGTTTCTAACTCTCTATCCCTCTCTCTTCCTCTCTGTAAAAAATCAATAAAATATATATTTTAAAATAAATAAAATAATAATATCTTTGAACTTCATCTTCACATCTGTATGGGTCTACTCTTTTATGCTTATGAAACTGGATAAGGAACTGAAAATCTGTACTAAATCACAATACAAAAACTTAACTCTGGGAAATCTTCAGATTTATATTCTATATAATTTGTAAATAGAGAAACTAGGCAGTAGTGAAAGTTTAACCCTTGGAGGAACAATCTTTCAAATCAAACATCTTAAGTCATCTATATTATTAGTGGAGAAACACATTAAAATTATACTAAACACTAGAGGCCCAGTGCACAAAATTTGTGTGCAGATAAGGGGTTGTCCTTCAGCCAGGACTGCACCCTCTTCAATCTGGGACACCTCGGAGGATGTCCAACTGCCAGTTTAGGCCCAATCCCGCAACCAACAGTCGGACATCCCTCTCACAATCTGGGACTGCTGGCTTCTAACAGCTCGCCTACCTTACCACCCCAAACAACTCCCCTACTGGCCTGATTGATACCTAACTGCTCCCCTGTCTGCCTGATTGCCTCCAACTGCCCTTCCCTGCTGGCCTGATGGCCCCCAACTGCCCTTCCCTTCCAGCCTGTTTTCCCCTAACTGCCCTCCCCTGTAGGCCTGGTCACCTCCAACTGCCATCCCCTGCCAGCCATCTTGTGGCAGCCATCTTGTGACGATGTCGTGTGAGGGCATGACACACCTAGGCTTTTATTATATAGGATATTTTTATAAAAAGGAGTACCTCTTAATGCTCAAATTTCAGTTTAGCCCCCTTTAAGTACTTTGAGAGCTTCACATTTTCCATTTTTTAAGTTCTTAACTTCAAAAAAGTATCCAATATTTAAACAGCCTAAGGAAAGGATTTGTAACCCACACACTAGAAAAATGAGCAACTGAGTAAAATGAATAGTAATTATAGTTTATTTTTCATAGCATATCAATCCTACAGAAATAAAAACCACATCAAATGGAATAATTATGTGTAATTATTTTAATTATTATTATAAACAAAAAAAATTTTACATTTATATATTTGCTTATGTATACTATAAATGTATTTGCATATATAAATATATCTTAAGTTTCTCCAAACAGCAGTTTTTAGTAAAAGCTACTTGTAGCCCAGTGCACAAACTTCGTGCACTTGGGGGGGAAGGGTTCCCTCAGCCCTGCCTGTGTCCTCTCACAGTCTGGAGCCCTCAGGGGGTGTCTGACTGCCATGGGGGTGGGAGAGGCTCTGCCACTGCGCTCACTAGCCTTGAGCCTGACTTCTGGCGGAGTAGTGCTCCCACTGTGGGAATGCACTGACCACCAGGGGGCAGCTCCTGCATTGAGTGTCTGCTCCCTGGTGATCAGTGCACATCTTAGCAACCAATTGTTTGGTCGATTTGCATATTAGCCTTTTATTATGTAGGATAAGCAGGCAGAAACAAACAGATGCAACACACACACACACACACACACACACACACAACATACACATACCTCCCTTTTCCATGGTTGTCTGCAACATCATAACATTTGCTACATAGTAGTATGTTTCTATTTCAAGTTAACCCCTTTATATTAATCAGCTACACTGTTCTGGTATGGTTCCTCTTTCATATCCTCAAAGCTTTAAAAGGTATTATTATATGATGATAATACAAACGTTTACTTGGTGAAGCAATTATCTATGATTCTATTTATACAGAACTAGAGGCCTGGTGCACGAAATTCATGCATGGGGGAGAGGGTATCCCTCAGGCCAGCCTGCATCCTTTCACAATCTGGAACCCCTCAGTGCATGTCTGATTGCCACTTTAGGCTTGATCCCACAGGGATCCCTGCTGTATTGAGCCTAAACTGGCAGTCCGACATCCCTCTCACAATCCAGGACCGCTGGTTTCTAACTACTTGCCTGCCTGATTGCCCCTAACTACTCATCTGCCTGCCTCACCGCCCCTAACCACTCTGCCTGTTTGCCTCATTACCCCTAACTACTTTGCCTTCCTGCTTCATCATCCCTAACTTCTCTCCTGTCTGCCTCATATCCCCTAACCACCTCTGACTCAGCCCCCATCGCCATGGCTTCATCCAGAATGAAACTCAGAAGGTTGTTCGACTATCCAGTCTAGTTAGCATATTACGCTATTATTACTATAGATAAGGTAGGGAAGGGAGAAACATTTCTACCAAAAATAAGTAAATTTCTGGCCTCAAGAAAAATCATGTCCTCACAAATCTGACATAATTACATGAAAAAGAAAATGTAATTAAGAACTTCATAAAAGTTATTCTAATTGACTGAAATTTTAAGAAAAATTAAAAAGGAATACAAAAGTTTAAGTCCACATTACCAAACAATCATCTTTTTTTGTTTGTTATTAAGAGGCAGTGGAGTTGGTTCAGCAATGGCTTTTATGTGAGAGCTTTCTAAATACCCTTATTGTAATTTGGTTCTTAGAGTAAAATGACTTCTTCTATTAAAATCTCTAGGAATTTTACCTACTCTGATTAATCTCGATGCTAATGTATCTTCAAGCATTCTTCAATGGCACCAACCCCAGAATTTCCTTGAATATGCCATCTACATTTAACCTTTTAAAGAAACTTATCTACTACTTTCATTGTTGTTCTTTTAGTCCATATTATGAGTAGAATGTTTCTACAGCTCTACAGAAGTCCATCTTTTAATTCAACAGACAACTTTATAGTCCCTTGTACTGTAAAAAAAAACAAAACAAAACAAAACAAAAACTTGTTTTGATTGACTTAGATAATTTATAAAGAAATTTAAGAATGAAAGTATCCAAATACAGAGAACTATGCCTTCGGAGATTTCATTCTGCTTTCAGGAGCACACCTAAAAATGCAGGAAACCTGTTAATTATGTCAAAAGAGAAGCCTGATAGTAAAATGTTTTAAAAGTCTCCAACAACCAATATCTTTCTAAAATAGTTTCCTTATATTGGAGTGTTAGCACCACTATCACATTTTAACAGTAGTATGCCTAATGTTCTGCAAATTTGTACTAATTTCCTACTCCCTCCCCAAAATGAAGCCACAATAAAAAGATGTAACACAAGGAAGTTTAAAACTTTATGGCTTTTCCATCCTGAAGTTTGCATCAAAATTTATCCTCTATTTGAAATCAAAAACATTACTTTTCAGATTGATAAAAGAAGCACTTTATGCAAAGAACATTTAGGGAAACAGAAGGTGTAAGATTCCGCCGAAACCGGTTTGGCTCAGTGGTAGAGCGTCAGTCTTCGGACTGAAGGGTCCCACGTTCGATTCCGGTTAAGGGCATGTGCATTGGTTGCAGGCACATCCCCGGTAGGGGGTGTGCGAGAGGCAGCTGGCCAATGTTTCTCTTTCATCGACGTTTCTAGCTCTCTATCCCTCTCTCCTCCTCTCCTCTCTGTAAAAAATCAATAAAAAATATATATATATATATATATTTTTTTTTTTAAAGGTGTTAGATTCCTATCATTCCTGAAATGGGAAAAATTAATTTTTGTACTATAAAACTTCCTAGAGATTAAAGACAAACAATTAACAAATATATAACTTTAACACAGAGTTATCAAAATAAAACAACACCCTGTCAACTACAAATGTATCAAGGTATATACATACTTCATTAAACTACAGATAAGGTCCATTGAGCAAAAACACTTCAGACCCAATCTAAACCAAAATTTATTGTGCAAATATCAAAACACTTCAAAACCAAAATCTACTACAAGACAAATAGTCACTAAGGTATGAGATTCAGCTAAGGAGAAAATAATAAAGAATAATAAAGAATTTCCAAAATTCTCAACCGATTTTTCCCCCAAAAGTCTTACCTTGTCATTGGTGTCTAGCACAATGGTGCTATGTCTCCACTTTGTTAATACTATTGGTTCTTGGAGCCGCCTATCCAGGCTCCTACTTTTAGTTATTTCTCTTTGTTGCTGAGATGAAATATTATACTAAAGAAAAAAAAAATACTTCATAAATAATAGAAACGAAACTAAAATCTAAATATGCCAGCCCTCAATGACACATGAGGCAAGGTAAAGTTCATCATGTGACATCAACATGAATTTTCTGTCCTTGGTTTTCTCATCTGACCAGCATTTTGGTATTAGAGGGACCAAGTTAATGTTATCTTTGGCAAAATATAACATCTTTGTAAGTCTAAGTTTCATCAACTGTTTACAACTGTAAAACAGATGTAACAGAAATATCTAATTCAAAGAGTTGACAAGAGGATTAAACAAATAAAAGATAGCAAATATTGACTTGATATAGGTTCTCGATAAATATTAGTTATTATTTATACTTATAAAAGCCTAAGCAACAGAACGACTAATCAAGCAGTCACTATGACGTACACTGACCACTAAGGGGCAGATGCTCAAAGCAGGAGGTGGTGGTCAGTGCGCTCTGATAGCCTACCTCCGGGGGTCCCTCCCCACACCGGCCAATCTCCTGCAGCCCCAATCGGCCCCGAACGCAGGCCAGTCCAAGGGACCCCACCCATGCACAAATTTGTGCACTGGGCCTCTAGTAATTTATAAAATGTGGTCATTGGACAAATTAACTTTTTAGGGTTTCCACCACTTCTAAAATACACATGAATTCAATTTTTGGTGTAGGTCTTATAAACTATGCTTACATACACTTTAATAGTATTCTCTTATTTTAAAAAAATTTGGTCATTTATTATTACTTTTGTTTCACTTACAGGCCAAACAAACTATTATTTCTTTCTCGGAAGAGGTAAAATATAATCAGGTCAAAAGATAGAAATGGTCCTAATTCTAAATCAATCCTATATCAGTGTGTACAACATATAGGTAATAAGTGCCCAAGAAAATTGCATATAAAATTAAAAACACATTATCAGTAAGCCATTAACTCATTTAACTTTTTGAAATGTCAAGCATAAACATTTGAGAAATGTGAGGTTTAATAGGTATGCTGTTTTATACAGCCAATTTAGTAAATAATAAATTGTAATAAAATAACAAAATTAATCTGCTTTTTTAAGGGATACCTTCTTCTACTGAAACCAAAAGATACCTAAAATATTTATTACCTCCACCCCTAAAAGCTCAGTAAATCTTAAAATTTAATGACTCTGATTATAATTTCAATAAAAGTATCTTTGGGGATGTTTTTAATATTAAGAACTCTTTCAACATCTTTCTCCTCAATATACCATTTCTTTTCTCTCCAAAATGAATCCCTACAGACCCCTCTAAAACTGTCTCCCAAAACTCTTACTTAATTTTTCACATTAAAATATGCCATAGCCAGGCAATCACGCGTGGGTGTTTGTTTTTAATTCATTTATCATAATTCACAAATGGGGTTATTTCTAAATAAAGAAGTTCAAAGACTACCAAAAAATTCTGTGCCGACCTGGCCAGTGTGGCTCAGTGGCTGAGCATTGATCTGTGAACCAGGAGATCATGGTTAGGTTCCAGGTCAGGGCACATGCCTAGGTTGTGGGCTCAGTGTGGGCATGCAGGAGGCAGCCAATCAATGATTCTCTCTCACCACTAATCATTAAACAAGGCTATATTTTTCCTTCAATCATTATCAGCAATAATGGAAATGAATACGTAGTTGTATGAAAGCTTATATATGAATATAATTGCTACCTCCTCTAGTTTTTGATTTTTATAATTACCACAACTGTTTAAAAATCCTTTCTATGCGGCAACAAAAATAATGTAACATGAAACTGGGTAATAATGACAATTTTAAATGTGTTAATTGTTTTACTAGGCAACAGTATGTTAATAAAAGCCAATAAAAAGCATAAATGAAACATAAAATCTAGTGTAGACAAAAATGAAGTGTCATAATTAGAGGACATCTGGTCTAATTAATATTTTACACTTTTATTATTATAGCTAGATCCCTACTGTACCCAACTCAAGCCTTCTCTCCATATCAGATTTAATTGGAAGTTCAAGAAACTGCCAAGACCTTCTGACACTTTATCTTAAGTGGCAAATGGCAGAAAATAAGATAATATCACAAAACTAGTAACACAACACTAGTCATAATAACCTTTTATTTCTACTGTTGTAGAACTAACTACCCTTTAGAACAGAGGTGGGGAACATCCACCTTAAAATCTTTTGGTCTGGCCCTGCCAAGGCATTACGGGTGAGTTAAATATTTGACCAAATATAGCAGGTTAATTTTTAAGTTGATAATTTTGTATGGGCCAGGAATGATGTTATAAATATTCAAATGGCCCTTGGCAGAAAAAAGGTTTCCCGTCCTCCTTTCTTTCACTCAGGCATCTTCAGAAGTAAGTTGGTTTCCTAATATTGAGCCTATATATCTTCTGACTAAGGAAAGCATAGATGTTAGTAGGAAATCCAACAAATATTTAGCTACCAGTTAAGTAAAGGTTTCAAATTAACCCTTATCTAAAGTCATTCTGGGAGCCTCTCCTTTCAGTGGACCCTGACATAGGAAAAAAAAAAATTACTCAAGAAAGTTTTAGTTTGATGTCATTAACCAGAAAATCAGACTAATAAGAGCTACAATTCAAATCTGTCAAGAGAAGCAAAAAAATTAACGTTGTATGTTTAAAATATTTAATTGATACTATATTAATGAAATATTAGACTTCTATATTTGATAATTTTCAGTGAAACACAATTTCATTGAATTTTTCTTCTAATTTTTTTAGGTCAAATCCGATCTCATATATTATAAGCCTAACAGAACCAACCACTGTTGCATAGTTTTTAATACTGAACAGTTATAACCCCAAAATACATTCCTATCCCAGCACATAGGATATTATATATTTTAGCCATCAGTATCCATAGGTTTTCTTCTTTCCAATTTAATCACTAAATATTATTTTTATTTACAGTTTTAAAAAGTAACAGCTAACATAGTCTTCAACTTCTTGGCATATTTGAAAAACAAAGACATTATTAATCTTATTATGCATATGTCTATTCTTCTAAGAGTGTGGAAGAGCCATATTAAGCTTAGAATATTAATTTCTCACTTCAAAGTTTTATTGCATTCTGATTAAATTTGGAAAATAATTTTTTGAAAATTATTCAATTTTTTGAAAACTTAAAAAACAAAAAAGCCCAACTGTTGCTAGTATCACTTAACTGCTCTGCTTATGTTCTTAATATAATATTGCAGGGATCTGAGAGCTTGGCACAACTTCAGTGTTCAAACAGTAATACAGTTTGATACAGTCAGAATAAAATCCAAAGGTACAAATTAAAGATAACTTTTTAAACCCACAAATGTTTTACTGAATTATATTTCATAAATTTATTTACATTTTTTCCCATCATCACTTATCCCCTCTATGCTCTTTTCCACTTCCCTGCCCACAATCACCACACTGTGGTCGATGTCCATAAGTTCTGTTTTATTTTTATTTTTTGTTCAAGCACTCTACCCCTATCAGCACCCCCAAATCACAAAAGTTGTGGTCTCTGTCTATGAGTCTGTCTGTATTTTATGTGGTAGTTCACTTTCTTCATTAAATTCCAACACGAGAGCAATCATGTGGTACTTGTCTCTCTAGGACTGGCTTATTTCACTTTTCCAGATCCATCCATTCTGTTCCAAAGGTTAAAATTTTCTTCCTTTTTACGGCATAGTATTCCATTGAGTAAATATATCACACATTGTATACACTCATCTATTGAAGGACACTGGGCCTGCTTCCAAATCTTGACTACTATAAATAATGCTGCAATTAACATAGGGCTATGTATATTCTTTCAAATTGGTGTTTCAAGTTTATTCAGATAAATTCTTAGAAGTAGGAACACCGAGTCATAAGGCAGCCCCATTTTTAACTTTTAGAGGTAACTCCATACTGCTACCCACAGTAGCTACACCAATTGGCATGCTCACCAGCAGTACATGAGGGTCCCTTTTCTCCACATCCTCACCAAGACCTATTATTTACTAATTAATTGTTAACAGCCATTCAGACAAGTGTGAGGTGATATCTCCCGGTGGTTTTAATTAGCATTTCTCTAATGATTAGTGATGTTGTGCATCTTTTCACATGTCTATTGGCCATCTACTTGTATGTTCTCTTCAGAGAAGTGTCTATTCAAGTCTTTTGCCCATTTTTAAAATTGGATTGTTTGTTTTTTTGGTGTTGAGTTTTACCAATTATTTATATATTTTAGAGGTTAACCCTTTATCAGATGTATCATTGGTAATAACATTCTCCCATTCAGTGGGTGTCTTTTCATTTGGCTGATATTTTCCTTTGCTGTGCAAAAACTCTTTAGTTTAATGTAGTCTCATTTGTTTATTTTCTCTTTTATTTCCCTTGCCAAATAATATATATCAGAAAAATTATTGGTACATGAGATGTCAGATATTTTAGTGCCGGTATTTTCTTCTAGAATATTTACAGTTCTGCGACTAACATTTAAGTATTTACCGTAATCCATTGTGAGCTTATTCTTGTGTGTAGTGTAAGAAGTAGTCTAGTTTCATTTTTTGGATGGTGCTTTGGGGAATTCAAATGGTCACTGTAGGATCTAGTTGTTTCTAAAATAATGGTGGATTAAACTGGAAGCTACACTGACCCTATCCCAGCACCAAACTGGAATTACAACTAAAATATAGAAAACAATCCAGAATAATAAACCATTTTCATATTATTTCATCTATTATTTTCAAATAGAAAGTCAATATTAAGGTTTATTACCTTTGGCAATTCCCATTCCGACCTAGATCCATCGGCACTGTAGTAATATTGTCTACCTTGATCATCAACATGCTTGAGCCACTATAAAAACAGAACAGGTGTTAGTTTTTAATTTAAATAAAAGTGAGTTTAAGCTTATACAAACAGAGATATTAGTTATTATTCCTATGTATTGTATTCTACTTGCTTTAGAAAACTTTTTTTTAAAATGTTAACAATCTTATGCTAATATTTACATTTTAAGTTTGGTAAGATTACATAAACTCAATATTGAATTAAGTTTATTTTCTCTCTCTTTCCTCCAAAGTAAAGCTAGGGGTTCAAGTACCTCTAAACAACATAAGAAATATATAACATACATACATACATACACACACACACATATGCACTGAACACAGGACCACACCACCCTAAAAAACAGGATTGAGAAATCAATAAAAAAGATATGTTTTTTCTTCAATCTTTAAGTATAACACTACTAAAAAATTTATGCTAAACTTCATGTAGGCAACAAATCTTACTATGATTAAATAATAATAGAAATATATTTCATACACTATAACACAGAGACTATGAGGGGGGGAAAGACTACGTATTGCTAATACAAATATATAATCTTGATGGTGATATATATAAATACTACTATTTCCTTATGTTCTAGTGTCAAATAATTAAGGTAGAAATGAGGATAAAAGCCTACCTTCATTCATTCCTAAAGGCATGTTCTCTAAACCAGCCCAACTCAACAGTTACCTTCTCTGATGATGAGAGATGTAATATACACATAAAATTTCAATATGCATTCCCCCAAACTAGTTAATTATTCATAAAATACTAGATTCATGGATTTTGTTTTACATAACTTGGTTATAAAGAAAAGTGAGTGTAGAAAGTGAGGTAGTATATCATAACAACATGCTAAGAAAACTATTCCCAAAATCTATTCTCCATGAAAAATAGCCCTTTGAATCCGCACGTTTCCCATCTACAGATTTAACCAACTGCAGATTGAAAATAAAGCCCCATCCCCAATTCCCAGAAAGTTCCAAGGAGCAAAATTTGGATTTGCCAATGTGCCAAGCACTACACTGAATGCACATAAATGAAGTGATGTGTAGGCAGGTCCTGCTTTAGCCCATGTACAAATATAGGTTATTTGCAAATACTATGCCATTTTATATAACATGAGGATTTGAGCATCCTCAGAGTATGGTATCTGTGGGGAAGAAGAGGGTTCTGGACCAATCCCACAAGGATACAAAGAAGTATTTTTATTTGAAGAAATCTAAACAGAACAACACTTAACAGGCCTATTCTTAAAAAGGTCTGTTCTAAGTGAGTTTTGACACCATAAAAATAATCAATGTAATTGTAAGCAGTTTAAAAGCTGAGTCAGTAGATATATTGAGTTTTCATGTTGTCAACTTACATAACTACAGAATTACAATGAAGAATATTTGCATGAGTTAAGTACTACTAAACTTTCAGTACACAATGACTTTATGAGAGGATTCAACCAAGAAACTAGACGACAAAAAAGAATGTACCTTTTCATTAGTATAGTCACTGGTATATAAGGTATGCCCACGTTCATCCAACTCTTCTGACCAACCCCTTGGAGGAGAACCACACTGACTATCTGACTGGCTGTAACAAATGTTGTGGCAGTTTTCTTCTGATGAAAGAAGCTATAAATAGTCAGAAACATAAGGAATTTTCTTCTTGAAAAATATAAGTATGCAGCAGTTGAAAATCTAAGAGATCAATTTTATTTGACTTTAAGTACTAAGACATCCTGAATATATTTGAAAAATTAATTTTTAAAACAAATTGTTCACCCTTTTAAATGATACACTTTAAGTGCTGAGGTGAAATTAATAATAGTTATTCTGTAACATTAATACAAATCTAGAAAAGTTCACAATAAAATTGAAAACAGAAGCTTTCACTCATCAGCAAACAAGGACTTCGATGGAAAAGCAGAATATCCTCAGTATCTGAGCCCCATCACCCCTTTCTGGTGACTATTCCACCCAAACTTAATTTAGGACATCAAAGGGCAGATTTCCTTGGTCTCTCCCTTAAAGTTTCAACAATTTCAATAATTATAACTCAACAAAGGAGTTCCTGCTCAACGCACAAGCATGCCTGAGAAATTCACTCATTGAGACATCTAAAAGTGGGCAAGTGAGAGCAAAAGAGAGAAGCAAGAAGGCAAGAGACCTGAGATGAGCCACACACACAGCCCTGAATCAGAGAGCTCAGGGCCGGGCTCAGTCTGAAGAAGGGAAGAATCTGGTTCTGGTTGACAATCCCTTCAGCCAGGAAGGGCAGAAAGATTTGGTGGGCATTCCTACAGAAGCAAATAGTATGAGCTTCAGCTGAGCAGAGACCTGGACAAGGACACAGCACTGGGCTCCGGTACAGTTGTTAGGCGGTGGGCATTACAGGAGAGAAACAAAGTTACAAAGTCCATAGCCTCCCAGAGCCAGCCTCCCTTCACCCTTGGTGTTAGGTTGTGGGGCACAATATCTGCAAACATGAGAACTAGTACTACAGAATCACTTTTTTCCCTGAACAAAGGGTGCACTCTAATCAATTTGGAGGTCAGGCACAGGGGTGACCCATGGAGATTAAGGTCACATTAGGAGGGCAAAACAACAAAGAAGCTGGACAGCTCTGCAGCCCACCCCACCACCACACATCACAGCTACCTGGAGGAAAGTGTCTGGCTACAGAGGACAACACAGGATCTGATAGATAGATAGATAGATAGATAGATAGATAGATAGATAGATAGATAGATAGATAGATAGACAGACAGATCAATCTCAACAACAATTGGTTGCAGGCTCCTCCCCAGCTCTGGCTGAGGTGCATACAGGAGGCAACCAATTGATGTGCTTCTCTCACATTCTGTCTCTCCCTCCCTCTTCTACCACTCTAAAAAAAAAAAAAATCAATGGAAAAATATCCTCAGGTGAGGACTGGGGGAAAAAAAAAAAAAACTTGTGATTTAGCACCATCTATTGGAAAATAAGAAAAAGACCCCTTCACATTAATCTGCTAGAGAAATGCTACTCATATACATAGATGCCTAGACAAAAAAAAAAAAAAAAAAAAAAAAAAAAAAAAAATCTATCAAATGCCACGAATAAGCAAGGTAGCAAGACAGTTCAGAAAAAGAATGAAAAATCTCCAGAAAACAAACTTAAAAACATAAAAATGTGATATAAATGAGAGCAAATTCAAGATTACAGTTATAAAAATACAAGATGTGAGAAAATACAGACAGGCAATTTAATGAACTCAGAAAACAAGCAAAGAAAATTAATACTATACTGAAAAGACTGAGACTTTAGAAAAGAACCAACCAAACAATTTCTGGAGATGAAGAACTCAGTAAGAGATCAAGAATGAACTAGCAAGCATATGAAATAGAGCAAAGCAGATAGAGAAAAGGATTAATGGTCTCAAAGATAGAAATCTAGAAATGATACAGAGGAAAGAAGAAACCGATTTAAGCATAAAAAGATATGTAAGAACTCTACAAAAACTGTCTGACTCCATCAGAAAAAGCAATCCTATATAATCCTATATAATCCTATAAAATAAAAGCATAATATGCAAATTGACAAAATAGCTGAATGACCAGTCAGTGGGGGGTGAGGGTGAGGGGCCGGTGAGCAGGTGGCACCAGGCCAACCAAGGCACGTGCCAGTGAGCAGAAGGAGGGGACAGCAATGGGGGTGGGGAGTGGCAGCGACCAGCGGTGGCAGAGAGGCAATTGGGAAGGAGGGTGGCCAAGCTGCGCCAGCCAGTACTGTCCCGTGATCAGCCACCAGGTCACCTCCCGCAAAGGGAGGCCGGTAGCAGCAGCAGCGAAGTGATGGAGGCAGCACCATCCCCTGATCGGCCCGCCTGGTCAAAGGGAGGCCAGACTGCAGCTTAGGCCCACTCTCTGAGTGGGCCTAAGCTGTCAGTAGGACATCCTGTGAGGGCTCCCGGACTGAGAGGACACAGGCCAGGCTGAGGCATCCCCTCCCCTGAGTGCACAAATTTTCCTGCACTGAGCCTCTAGTCTATAATAATAAAAGCATTAATATGCTAATTAGAATGACGCCCTTCTAGAAGACCTTCTGGATGAAGCTGAGCTAAAAGGGAAGCCTGGATCCCAGGTGCCAAAGGAAAGCCAGTGCCAGCAGCCAGGGGAAGAAAGGCCTGCTCTTGCATGATTTTCCTGCATTGGGCCTCTAGTATAAGGACAATAGACATGCCATAAAAAGAGGAAGAAAGAAACAGAGAGCCTATTCAAACAAATAGCTAATAAGAACTTCCCAAACCTATTGAAGGAGCCAGATCCTTGAATCCAAGAAGCAAATAAAACATCGTTATTTCAATCCAAAGAGGCCTTCTCCAAGGTACGTTGTATTAAAACTGTCAAAAATTAATTTTTTTAACAAAGAAAGAATTTTCAAGACAGCCAAGAGGTTAGGGGGATGGGTAAGTAACCTATAAAGGAAAGCCCATTACATTATCATCAGACTTCTCAGCAGAAACTCTACAAGCCAGAAGAGAAGTAGAACCAAATATTCAAACTACTGAAAGAGAGAAATTACCAGCCAAGAATAATATATGCAGTAAAGTTATCCTTTAAATATGAAGGAGAAATAAAGATTTTTCTAGACATACAGAAACAGAGGGAATTCATCAGAAGACCTCTATTACAGGAAATACTCAAGGGGGTTATTCTACCTGAAACCAAGAACATAAGATCACTATGAGTAAGTTCACCAACAAACTTATAGCATAGCCTGCCTGGTGTGGCTCAGTGGTTGACTGTTGACCTATGAACCAGAAGGTCAGGGTTGAATTCTTGATCAGGGCACAATTACTGGTTGGGGCACATACATGCCTCAGTTGAAGCTCAATCCCCAGAAGGGGGTGTGCAGGAGGCAGTCAATCAATGATTCTCTCTCATCATTGATATTTCTACCTCTCATTTCTGAAATCAATTAAAAATATATTTTCATTAAAAAATTTTACAGCATAATAGAGACAATCTGTGACAACAAAAACAGTGACAATAAAAGAGAAGAGGTGAAGGTCTGACTTTGCAAAGGAGGATGGACATCAGATGCATTCAAAAGAAAAAGAGCTACTACATAATGAAACTTTCTTTTTCATAAACCTAATAGTAACCACACATAAAAAAAATCCAAAACAGAGACACATAGCTTAAAAAAAGAGGAAACAAAGTAAAAAAGTATGGAATATCACCAAACAAAAACAGACAGAAACACAAAGAAAAACAGCCAATGGAGGTATAGAGTTACCAGAAAACAAAAGATAAAATGGCTACAGAAAAATCCTCATACATCAATAATTATGCTAAATGTAAATGGACTAAATTCACCAATAAAGAAGCAGAGAGTAGATCAAAAAACAAAACCTAACCATATACTACCTTCAGGAGACACATCTAAGTGTCATTTTGTGCAGATGACATAATTCTGTATTTAGAAAACCCTAAAGACTCCACCAAAAACTATTAGAAACAATAAATACAGTAAAGTTGCAGAATACAAAATGAAAGTAAAAAAATCCACTACTCTCCTCTATACTGACAATGAAACTTCAGAAAAAGAAATGGGAGGGGCGGGGGACAATATCTAGGAATAGACTTAAAGAAGGATGTGAAGGACCTACAAAGCATTAAAAAAGAAATAAGCCGAGACCGGTTTGGCTCAATGGATAGAGCGTCGGCTTGGGAACTGAAGGACCCGGGTTCGATTCCGGTCAAGGGCACGTACCTTGGTTGCGGGCATATCCCCAGTAGGGGGTGTGCAAGAGGCAGCTAATCGATGACTCTCTCTCATCGATGTTTCTAACTCTCTATCTCTCTCCCTTCCTCTCTGTACAAAATCAATAAAATATATATTAAAAAAGAAATAAATGTAATACTATCAACAATAAAAATATATATACTTTTTTTTAAAAAGAGAGAGATAGGAAAAGACTCATTAAAATAGAAAGATATTCCATGTTCAGGTCTGGAAGAATCAACATCATTAAAAAGGATAATATTACCCAAAGCAATATACAGGTTTAATCCCCATCAAAATCCTAATGTCATTTTTTTAAAGATACAGAATTTTAAAATTATTAGGTTTGTATGGCACCACAAAAGAACCTGAATAGCAAAACTGAGAAAAAAGAACAAAGCCAGAGGTATCATACTACCTGACTTTAAAACTGTAATACAGAGCTACGATAATCAAAACAGCATGGTATTGGTGAAAAGAAGACTATATAGAGCAATGGAACAAAATTAAGTGCCCAGCAATAAAACCACAGGAACATAGGCAAATAATTTTTGACAAAGAGCCAAAAACACACAATGGAAAGGGGGGTGAAGAGGAAGCCTCTTCAATAAATAATGCTAGGAAAATTAGCAAGCCACATGCAAAAAAAATGAAACTAGATTACAGTTTGACCCAGGTACATAATTTAATTCAAAATGAATCAAGGACATAGATCTGAAACAATAAATTACATAGGAGAAAATCTAAGTGCTATGTTTTATTATGGACTGTGGTCATAGAAAACATTTTATGAATCTGACCCCAAAGGCAAGGGAAGTAAAAGTAAAAAGAAATGAATCAGACTATAAAATACTAAAAAGCAT